CCCAAGAGTTGGAGGTTGCTGTGAGCTGTGATGCCATAGCACTCTACTGAGGGCGATAAAGTGAGACTCTATCTCAATAAATAAATAAATAAATAAATAAATAAATAAATAAAATAGGGTGGCGCCTGTGGCTCATTGAGTAAGGTACCAGTCCCATATACAGAGGGTGGTAGGTTTGAACCCGGCCCCGGCCAAACTGCAACAAAAAAATAGCCAGGTGTTGTTCTGGGCGCCTATAGTCCCAGCTACTCGGGAGGCTGAGGCAAGAGAATTGCCTAAGCCCAAGAGCTGGAGGTTGCTGTGAGCTGTGACACCACGACATTCTACCAAGGGTGACAAAGTGAGACTCTGTCTCTAAAAATAAATAAATAAATAAATAAATAAACATAAAATTAAATTAAAGACAATCTTAAATTAAGGACAAAATTAAATTAAGAACCCCCCACAGGCAGGGGGATTCCACATTATGGTTTATCAATCAGGTAGAATACTGTATGGCCACGTGCACAATGTGGATGTGGATCTATTGGCATGGGAAGATATTCTCAATGTTTGAATGAAAAAAATATCTTATACTGCCCCCCCAAAGAAAAAAATCTTACAAAACTTTATGTATATTTTACTTATTGTTGACAAAATGGGGAGAGGATGTGCATATGTATATACATAAAAGCTACCAAAATGTTAAGATTGATTATATTTCAGGTAATAAAGTACTAAATAAAAGGATCTGAGGGTGGTGTTTGTAGCTCAGTTGGTAGGGCACTAGCCATATACACTAAGGCTGGCGAGTTCGAACCCGGCCTGGGCCAGCTAAAACGACAATGACAACGGTAACAACAAAAAAATAGCCGAGCATTGTGGCAGGCGCCTGTAATGCCAGCTACTTGGGAGGTTGAGGCAAGAGAATCGCTTAAGCCCAAAAATTTGAGGTTGCTGTGAGCTGTGATGCTGCAGCAGTCTACCCAGGGTGACAGCTTGAGACTCTGTCTCAAAATAAATAAATAAATAAATAAATAAATAAATGGATCTGAGATTTTTCAAAAAAATTTTTAAAAATTTATTCTTTTTAACTTAGAATGTGCTTCAGTACTGAATTTTTGTTTTCTACTTTAAAAAAAAATAATTCCAATGATAGATAATTATATGTCTGCATGACTTGTTTGGCCATGTGTTAATAATAAATACTAAAGTTTTTGGCTAAGTGAGTATTAATGTTCCCAATCACCAGTTTACATCCTAAGATTTTTAGCATAGTAAGAAATGAGAGTTGTTGGGCCTTGGGTGGTTTCCAATGTTTCACTAACAAAAATAATTGCCCTGCTGGGCGTGGTGGCTCACGCCTGTAATCCTAGCACTCTGGGAGGCTGAGGCGGGTGGATTGCTTTAGCTCATGAGGTTGAGACCCGCCTGAGCAAAAGCAAGACCCCATCTCTACTAAAAAAAAAAAAAAAAATAGACACACTGAGGCAAGAGGATCGCTTGAGCTTGAGGTTGTTGTGAGCTATGATGCCATGGCACTCTACCCAGGGCTACAGCTTGAGACTCTGTGCCCAAAAAAATGAATGAATGAATAAATAAATAAATAATTGGGTTGTGGACAAAATTAGCAGAAAACCAAACAATTTCTAGACGAGGGACCAAATGCTTAAAGACACATCAAAATTTGCAAAAATCCCCCTGTAATGCACCGACGTTACCAATTCATCAACCAATTTATCATTTCCATCAATTTATTTTCTGACTAAAGCCAGTCTGCTGCTGCCTTCACAAACCTTTTCCTTGGCTGTGTCTGGATGCTAAAATTAGCTGGGTAGAGGGACCTCTTATCTTCCACCCCTGTTTTATAGGTGGGGAAACAGAGGCCTAGGGCAGGACTGAACCAAGGGCACAGTGAATTTGATGCCCAGCTAGGACTCAAATCCAGTTCAACATGCAGGTCATCTGGAAGGGTCTTCACTGTGGATCAGAGCTAGGGTCACCACATTTAGCAAATAAAAATGTAGGGTATCAAATTATATATAAATTTCAGAGAAACAATGAATACATTTTTAGTATAAGTTTGTCTCAAATATTACAAATATTCTATGTCTGAAATTGTAATTTAATTGGGCATCTTGTATTATTTAGTAACCCTACTCAGAGTCCACCCTATGAAGAAAAGACCTCTGGTGTCCTCTCTCTGCCCTTCACTTTCCCATTGGCCCCAGAGACCTGCTGGGCCACATCCAGACTAGCTTGCTTCCCAAATCTGACCCTAACCACCACGCTGGTGGCCCCTTTAGAAGCTTCTCTTCTCTCCACAGCCTTTGCTTATTCAGCATAGGGGATGATACAGGAAACACCATTCATCCCCTCCAGCTCTTCAAGGCAGCTCGCTGGGAACACTTGTCTGGCTGGTTCCTTTTAACACTTCACTCCAGGGCTGCAGCCACCTGCTGGCTCCTGTCTGGACAGCCCAATGTCCCTCTCACCTACTTCTTCTCAGTCATCTCCTGTTCCTCAGAATCCTGCCCTTGGCCCTTGACCCACTCCTGGTGCTTCCTGGGCAATTCCATCGACTCCTGTGGTGACTACCCAGGGCCTAAAATCTCCTGTTCTCTTTCTCCAGGTAGACCCCTCTACTGAACTCCTGCCTGCTGGACATCCTGGGACCTCAGGGACCCCAGGTTGGTTACTTTGTTCTTCTTTTGCCTTAGAATTCTTCCAAGGTCCTCAGTATAAAATCTGAACTGCTTGGTCTAGCAAACAAAGCCCTGCACGGTCTACCCCTTTTTGCTTCTCTAGCCTTCTGCACTTCCCAGGTTTTCTCACAATCCTACCAGGCTTCACATGGCTTCAAATATTGTTTCCCTCCCTCCTCTGTTCATCTTGGAGGCCTCTGCACCCAAGTCACCTGCTCTAGAAGACCCTTGTCCCCCCCAAACTGGGTTAGCTGCTGCATATATTCCTTTCACCTTGCTATGGGGTATCCTGATTCACCTGCTGCTCACCTATCTCTTCCACAGGACAGATGAGGTTGTGTCTTCTCCGCTTCTCTCTATTCCCAGCAACCAGTTCAGGGCCTGATCCCTGTCCCCAACACAGCCAGTCCAATCCAACTCTGCCCAAACTCTGACCTCATCTAAGACCCCAGCTCCACTTTTTTAAATTTTATTTTATTTTTTTATGAAATCATAGACACATAGATCATGTATACATTAATGCATTTATGGGGTACAGTATACTGATTACATGTAGAATTAGGAATGCTTACATCACACTGGTTAATATATACCTCATCTCATTTATTTCGTTATTGTGTTAAGACATTTATAGTTGGCTCGGCACCTGTGGCTCAAGTGGCTGGGGCTCCAGCTACATACACTAAGGTGGTAGGTTCAAATCCAGCCCAGGCCCGCCAAACAACAATGATGGCTGCAACCAAAAAATAGCTGGGCGTTGTGGCAGGCGCCTGTGGTCCCAGCTACTTGGAAGGCTGAGGCAGGAGACTCACTTGAGCCTAGGAGTTGGAGGTTGCTGTGAGCTGTGATGCCACAGCACTCTACCCAGGGGGACAGCTTGAGGCTCTGTCTCAAAAAAAAAAAAAAAAGACATTTATACTCTATACTAATAGATCCGACAAGTACCCTTGCATTATGCACCATTGGTGTGACCCCACCATTCACCCTCCCTCGATCTGACCCAGTTCCACTTTTGACCTTACCTCATCCCTGACCCTGACAGCACATTTAGGAAAGGAATAAAGGCAGGTCTCTCCCACTTTCAAGGGCACATTTCTCCGCTCCTGAGTTCACTTAGAATCTGCAGAGAGTAAAGGGCAGAGGCTGAGTGTTCTGGGGCCAGAGTGGAAGGGTCAGCTCCTTTATAGAGGGCTTCTAACTAGGACTTGGACTGCAGCCTCTCCTTGCTGGGTGAGTTGGGAGGGGTGCAGACTACTCCTTTGTGGGTTCCAGACCTGGCTTGATCTTTGGCACCCTCTAGAGGACCGTTTCATTCCTGGGCTTTGGACAACCAAATCCTATACCCTCTTCTACCCATGACAGGCTGCTGGGATGCAGAAGCTCCCCGGACCCAAGGCCCACAGTTCACCACTCCACCTGGCAGGTGTCTTGCAGCCTGCAGACATGTGGGGTCACCTGCTCAAATCCCACCCACTCCCACGTCAAGGCCCAGCCAGGCCCTGGCTCCACCAGCTCCCCACTGACCCTGCCTCAGTCACTGAGGTCCCACAGCCCTGAGCCCCAGCCCCAAGCTCTGGTCTGGTTTTGGATACTTTGTAGAAGCCTCTCTCGCCCTTCCCAAGGGAGGAATTTCCTGAGGTTTCCCTCTGCCTACCTTAGACTAGGGCCCCAAAAAGACAGGCCTGGGTTTCCTTCTCCCTTCTCAGACTAGGATTTCCCTGAAAGTATGGCTTATGTGTCCTCCTTCCTCTCAGGATGGAGGCTCCAGAGAGCCAGGCCTGAGTCTCCTTTCCCCCTTCATATTGGGGGCTCCCTGAGGACCGACCCAGGGTCTCCTTCCCCCACCCCTCCACCTGGCTATCGATCTCCAGAATTTCTACCTCCATTCCCCATTCAATGCAGCTCTCCCCATGGCTGGGGGCTCAAGAGCCTCTATAACCTTCCCCATATCTGGGGCTCTGGGAGGGCTTTCCCAGCCCCTGGTCCAGAGACAGTCCTGGAAGCCTGGCCTTTTCTCTGGGATTGTGAGCCCAGAACACCCACCCAGAGCTCCACCTCTGACTTCACAAGGGTTGCCTTAGAACTCGGTCTCCATGGCCCCACCAGTGGGAGGAGGGATGCTATTTTGGGCAGTGTGTCTGGACTTGGCTCAAGCGGCACCAACTAAACCCCTGCTCTACTGACCTCTCCCCTGGAAGAGCAGAAGCAGTGCTCAAGGCTGCCCTGGGAGGGGCTGAGAGGCAGACTTTAGACTAGGGACACGGGGACAGCAGAGAACCAGCTGAGGGTACAGCCTGACAGTCATGGAGGAACAAGATCAAGATCTGCTTTGACTGAGAAGCTCCCAGGGCAGAGGCTGAGAATCATAAGACACTTCAGCAGGGTGAGTGGGGCTCCAGGCAGGTTCAGGACAAGGTGGCCTACCCAGGGCCCTGGAAAGGCCACTCCCTGGGGACTACAGAGGGATGAGATATGGCTGTGGGATTTGTAGGGAGTTAAAGGCCTGGCTTTCTATTCTGGCATAGTCCTGTGTTGCTGTGTGATATGGGCATGTCAGTCACACTTGCTCTCTGGGCCTAGGTTTTCTTACCTGTAAGTTGTTGGAAGGACCAGTGGTGGAGCAGAAACTCCACCACTCCAGAGTTGGGGCTCAGCGCCTGTGGCTCAAGTGGCTAAGGCACCAACCACACACACCTAAGGTGGCAGGTTCGAATCCATCCTGGGCCCACCAAACAACAATGATGGCTGCAACCAAAAAAATAGCCAGGCATTGTGGCAGGTGCCTGTGGTTCCAGCTACTTGGGAGGCTGAGGCAGGAGACTCGCTTGAGCCCAGAAGTTGGAGGTTGCTGTGAGCTGTGATGCCATAGCACTCTACCCAGGGGAATAGCTTGAAGCTCGGTTTCAAAAAAAGAAAAAGAAACTAAGAGTTGGGCTGGGCTCCCAGCAGAGCATGGGAGTGGGACAAGGACAGAGCTGAAGACCAACTGGTACTGGACCTAAAGCAGAAGGGATACAGGTCAGAGATGGGCCAACTGCGGCTGGCTGGAGTGGTTCCTCCCACTGGAGGGGCTGGGGCTGGGGCCGGAGGGTTTCTGAAATCAGGGCTGGGGATGTGAATTGTGCTACAGCTCGAGGGATCTGGACTAGATAATAAGGACAAACAGGATGAGGAAACTGCAGGGTTACCTTCATGCTATCAGTTTGAGAAAAAATGAGAGTATAAGGGAGAATTTTAAGGAAAGGTGAGAGTGTAGACTTTGTTCTGAGGTGTATGGACTAAATGAGTTTTCAAGGCCTCATTCTGGGTGTGCATGTACATTCGAGGAAGAGATCCTGGAAGGTCACAGTTTAAGTCAGCAGCAAGAGGGCTTGAGGTTAGACTAAAGGCATATTACTCAAATATGAAAGGCTGGAGCCACTGAGGGGAGATAGAGGGCATATCCATGGTCCAGAGCTGGAATGCAGATTTGGGAAGGCCAGGAGGACCCTGAGGGGCCTGGTGCAGGGGTGGGGCCTGAGGCCAACCTGGGCAATGGGGTGGAACTGCAAGGCTTCTCCCCATTGGCTGAGGTTGCCCACCCTTCCCCCCACCCCCCTTGAAAGGGTGTCACCAGCAGGAGCTGCCCCATGGCTTCTCCCCTGGGAAGCTAGGGTTGGATGGAAATGTGGGGCTAAGTTCCATGTCCCCCAGCCTTAGTAATCTCTCTTCGTCTCCACAGCATCTAAAAATCTGAAAGAGAAAATGACTCAAGTAGTCACTCACAGGCGGTAAGCACCCCATCCCATTCACAGGCCCCTCTGCCCTGCACACTTCAGTGCCACCTCCAGCGCCACCATCAGCCTTTTCCTCATGGCAGCTGCTCTCTCCAGATCCCCTCCTTCCAACTGTCCCTAGCCCATGGGGCCCCAGAAGAAGGATCTCTCTCAAGTGTCTCTCATTCCCACAGCACAGCCACAGCTCAGGCTGGGCCCTGTTTGAGGGGAAGCTCAGACTTGGATGAACATTGGTGATGGGTCATTGGGTTCTGACTGCCCTGATATAGGTGGTACTCAACTAAATGGAACTACCACCTCTCTCCCTCCCAGGGTTAGGTCTCCGGGATGAACAAGAACCAAAGTCCTTATGATGGCCAAGGCCTGCCTATCTAGTCCTTTTTACCCTCTGACTGCCCCCTGCTCTATCTACTACAGCCACAGTGACCTCCATTACTTTCTTTCTTTCTTTTCTTCTTCTTTTTTTTTTTTTTTATGAGGACAGCATCTCACTTTGTCTCCCTGGTAGAGTGCCATGGTGTCATAGCTCACAGAAACCTCAAACTCTTGAGCTCAAGCGATTCTCTTGCCTCAGCCTCCCAAGTAGTTGGGACTACAAACGCCTGCCACAACACTGGCTATATTTAGGGACGGGGTCTTGCTCTTGCTCAGGCTGGTTTCAAACCTGTGAGCTCAGGCAATCCACCCGCCTCGGCCTCCCGGAGTGCTAGGATTATAAATGTGAGCCATCTTGCCCGGTCAACCTCCATTACTTTCTTCAAACAAGCTCTAAGTCCTTCAGTGACTTATTCCCTCTGCCTGAAATGCCCATCCTGTGGTTACCCATGCGGCCTATTCTCTCACCTCCTGTCTTTGCTCAGATGCCACCTTCTCATGATGGCTGTATAAATCACCCCATACATACACACTCCCAGTTCCCCTCTCCTTGCTTTGTTGTTTCCATAGGACTCACTCCCTTCTGACATATGGAAGCGCTTGCTTATACATTCCACTGCTGTCAGTTCTGCGCAGCCAGGGATAGTTGCCTGTTTGTGCACTCTTGGTTGGAGAGAAAGATCAGTGCCCCTCTGCACTGATGACAATACTATCTCCAGCTCTCTTCTCTCTCCTTGGCTTTAGATCCTGTTTCCAAAGACCCATTGATGCTCCACAGTCAACTCAGATCCCAGCTAAAAACAGCCTTCTTCACTCTCCCTAGATCCATTCTTCCTCCTGTGTCTTAGCTCAGTCAGGGGTCCCCTTCTCCTCAGACGCTCAAGCCAGAAGTCCAGGTCACATCCTTGATACTTCTCTCTCCTTCATGCCTCATGTCTAGTCACCAAGCTCCTAAAATATCTAGAACGTGTATGCTTTCCACCACTCTCTCTGATGACCACCCTCTTCAGAACTCTCTTCAGGCCTCCCCCATTCCCCATCCCTGAGCTCCCGGGGTTCCAGACTTCTTCCCTCTGGTGGTGTTGCTGTAACCTGTAGCTTTCACTAAATGGAGCAAACCAAGGGTGTAGACTGGGCTTGGACTTTTTATCCCTGGTGCCCTACTCATAAGCAGATGCTCAAGAAATTTTTGTTGTGGCTCAGCACCTGTAGCTCAGTGAATAGGGCTCTGGCCACATACACCGAGGCAGGAGCGTTCAAGCCTGGCCTGGACCTGCTAAACAACAATGACAACTGCAACCAAAGATGGCTGGATATTGTGGTGGGCACCTGTGGTCCCAGATACTTGGGAGGCTGAGGCAAGAGAATCACTTAAGCCCAAGAGTTTGAGGTTGCTGTGAGCTGTGATGCCATGGCACTCTATTGAGGGTGACAAATGTTGCTTGGCAGGTTGAATGGTTGGCTTCAGGGTAGTTGGATAGTTTATGATTGACTAGTTGATTAGATAATTAAATGAGTTAATAGGAGAGTAATTAAATGAGTTAATAACTGGTTAACAGGAAAGTCAGTTATTTGGTTAAACTACTAGATTAGTAAGTCACAGGGTTAATAAGTTGTTAGCTATTTAGTTCCTTGGTTAGCAGATTACTTAGGCAATCAGGTTGGCTGTTAGTGTCTTGATTTACAGGCTAGTATTCTTGGATAATCTCTTCTCATTCTATACCCTTTCCTTCAGCTGTCTCATCTATGCCCATAGCTCAAATGATCATCAGTGATTTGGTGACCTCCACATGTGTATCTCTAAGTGAGACCACATGATCAGCTGCCTCCTGATGAGTCATCTCCACCTAGGCATCTAGCAGGCTCCTCAAATTCAACATATCTTGAAGTGGCCTCTACATCATCCCGAAAACCCACCGCTTCTCTCCTGTGCCCCACACTGGTCATTCTGAAGCTCTAGCCAGAGCCCGAGGTCATCACAGTCTCCTCTTTCCATTCCCCTCTCCAATTGAATGCCCAGTCAGTCAGACTCCTCTTCACCACCTCCTCCTTGGCTCAGGCTGCCATCACCCTTGGCCCGTCTGTGAGAGGGCTCCCGAGGCTTGCCACACCTCTACTCTACTTCCTCTATCATCAATGGGGGAGGCAGCCTTCCTGCTGAGATCTTCCACCTGGTCCCATGGCCTTCTGGGTGAGTTCGGAGTCCTAAATGTGGGCCATGAGGCCTTCTGCCATTTAGCCTTGGCCCCTCTCTGCACAGCTTATGCCACTTTCACTCCTCCTCTGGGTGGCCCATCCTTGAAGAATTCCTCTACACATCACATACTGTCCTAGCTGCAGGCCTTCGAACCTACCATTCCTATACTCAGGACTGTCCCCCACTACTCCAGATGCTCCTTTACCTGGCCAGCCTTGACCTAGATTTCCTTTCTTCTGGGAGAGCCTCATAGCCCCTCCTCTAAGCCAGTCCCTCCCTTCCATGTGCTCCTGTGGTGCCTATTCTTCACCTATGTCAACACTCATCACTCTTTGTAGTAATTGGTTAATTAATTTTTTTCCCTAAGATCTGAGATCACACCAGTGTCCTTTGCTGCAGTGCCTAAACACAGTAGGAATGCCACACATTCACACATCTTTGTGTCGTTGGCTGGTTGGTAGTTATTTGTTGCTTTACTGTGTCTTGTCTGCTGTGTGGTGAAAAAGGAGACAGGCTTCCAGAGTTCTCTTGGTGTCATGGCTTCCTGCTCTGTCCACCTTTCCCCTGCCTTTGTGTAGACTTCCCAGTACTGTTCTTGGGGTTCCGTTTATATCAGGCTGCTTGTAGGCCCTTCTTTAGGGCTGAGAAGGCTGGTAAGGGAACCCTTATGTGATGCTACATGAGAACTGGAGGAGTTGGATGGAGGCCAGTTGACAATCCAGGCAACACTATAACCCGCTCTGTAGACTCAGCCCTGGGTTTGTTTTTCTAGGGTAAGGAATAGAGCAAGAAGGTGTGGGTGAGATATAAACACAGGGTCTCAGCTAGAAAAGTGGAAGATCAGGGCAGCACCTGTGGCTCAAATGAGTAGGGCACCAGCCCCATATGCCGGAGGTGGTGGGTTCAAACCCAGCCCCGGCCAAAAACTGCAAAAAAAAAAAAAAAGAAAAAAAAGAAAAGTGGAAGATGTTTTATTCCATTTTATTCTACCCCTGTACATCTCTCATGCTCTCTCTTTTTTACTGCCGCAAGGCCAGGAGAATTAGGGGACCCTTAGGAATGATGCTATCCTTAGAAGGGTAAAATAGTTGAGGGGCTGGTGCCAGTTTCTAGGTATTTAGACACTGAGGGGGATGGGAGTCACCAGTCTGAATAAGCACTAAGGCCAAACTTAGAGGAGCCTGCAGACATCATCACCTTCCCCAAACTCTAGTCCTATACCTCTCCCTCCATCCAGACATTGGGACCTGCCACTCACTTTTTCATTTCTCTGTCCATCTAAACGTGCACTCTTTCTTTCTTTCTTTCTTTCTTTCTTTCTTTCTTTCTTTCTTTCTTTCTTTCTTTCTTTCTTTCTTTCTTTCTCTTTCTTTCTTTCTTTCTTTCTTTCTTTCTTTCTTTCTTTCTTTCTTTCTTTCTTTCTTTCTTTCTTTGAGACAGAGCCTCAAGCTATCCCCCTGGGTAGAGTGCCGTGGCATCACAGCTCACAGCAATCTCAAACTCCTGGGCTCAAGCGAGTCTCCTGCCTCAGCCTCCCAAGTAGCTGGGAACACAGGCTTCTGCCACAACACCCAGTTTTTGGTTTTTTTTTT